GAAATTTTCAGAATAACTCTGAGGAAGAGTTTAAGATAGAAGCTGCTGGAAAGAAATTTTTGGTTTGCAACCTCTAAAAACAGATGTACTGTCATGTATACACTAGACCTGTTCCTGGAACAGCTGTTTGTAAGTTATATCAATATTTAAATGCATCCATGGGGTGCCTTGGTGGCTCAGTTGGTTAAGCTGCTGCCTTTGGCTCAGGTCATAATTCTGGGGTCCTGAGATCAGGCCCCACATCGGGCTCCCTGCTCAGTGGGAAGTGTGCTTCTCCCTCTCCCACTGCTACTCCCCCTGTTTGTGCTCTCTCGCTCGCGCTCTCTCAAATAAATAAAAATCTTTTAAAAAAATTTTTTTAAATGCATCCTGAGAGAGGGTAACTTAAAGGGAAGCTATGGTGAATCCTCCTGTCAAGTTAAGAATCACCCTGACTTACTGTTTTGAAATTCCAGCAGGTTTTTAGTTTTATTGTTCAGTATCATGAATCTGTGATCTGCATAGGTGTGTGTTGAATGAACGATCCTCATGTTCCATCATACCTAGCTCAGATTCTCCCCGGTTTACAGGAAATCAAGTAACCTCTTTGACTTCTTTGCAGATGTTATCTGAAAATAGGCTTGTTTGCCAGGAAACTGTGCATTCACCCTTTAAAATAGAACTTTCATTTGTATGCCTTGGTTCACCCGCCATAGCTCTGTGCCATCTTCTTTCCTTACCTTTGTTCAGCACCTTCTGACTAGTGGGCGCCCCGCGAGGGTGGTTACAGGTTGACCATGGTTCCCTGCCGCACAACACTATGTGGGAGGAAGGAAATTTGTGTGGTTAAGGCATGGGAGGTATTGCGACTTCTTGTCTTTACTGCTCACCAAGGGCGGTTTCCAAATCACATTGTGCCTTTCAATTCTCAGTCTTTGAAGCATTAAGTAATAAATACGTGTATTTATTTGCTTGTTTATTGAAGACTAGACTAGTGAAATGGATGGTCCGGGACAGATGTACAAACTGAGCTTGAACGTACATTAGAAAGCATATAGTCTTGTCTCCCACACAAAAGAAGGACACCTTTTAGGATATCCTGGCCGTATGGGCCCTATGTCCATTAAAGTTATTCATTTCTTTGTAAGACACTGTAGGGAGAAAGCCTTTTAATTTCCATCACTCTTGTCTCTGTATAATAGAGAATGTTTGCCATCGTCAATTTATAAGCACTGCCATGGTGCAAGACACTGCACTCTGCTTGACATTTTCCCTTCAGTAAGAGAGGCTCATGTGGCAGAAGATCAGCTTGGGAGGGACATTAAGAATCGCTGGGGGGGGTGCCTGGCTGGCTGAATTGGTGGAGCGTGTGACTCTTTTTTTTTTTTTTTTTTTTAAGTTTTATTTATTTATTTGAGAGTGAGTGAGAGAACAAGAGCAGGGTCGGGGGAGCGGGAATCAGAGGGGGAGGGAGAAGCAGACTCCCTACTGAGCAGGGCGCCCAATGTGGGGCTCGATCCCAGGACCCTGGGATCATGACCGGAGCCAAAGGCAGATGCTTAACCAACTGAGTCACCCAGGCATCCCAAGCGTGTGATTCTTGATCCCAGAGTTGTGAGTTCAAGCCCCATGTTGGGCATAGAGATTACTCAGAAATAAAATCTTAAAAAAAAAAAACACTGGAAAATGATAACTATGTGAGGTGATAGGTGTATTAAGTCAACAGTGGTAATCACTTTACAATGTATATGTATATTAAATTATCACATGGTAATGCTATAAATGTATAGAACTCTCGTTTGTCGAGCATACCTCCATAAAGGTGGAGGGGGGCAAAAATCACTGGATTGACAAAAGCAGGGGGATTTTAAAGCCCAAGAAAACCTAGGTTTGTATTTTGGTTCTGCTATTTTACAATGGGAAAAAAATTGGTCTCAGAAAAGTTAAATAGTTTACTCAAGGTAATTTGGGTGATCTTTTGCAAACTACTTCATTTTCTTCACTGTAACATAGATCTAACTAATATCTAACTCATCTGGTTATTTTGAAGTTTAGAGATCAAAACACCAGGCACATAATAAAGCAGTCAGTAAATTGCTACCATAGTTGTTTTATTATGGTGATGATACACAGTCATCCAACAAATACATGCGGAACACTCACTGTGTCACCATATGCCAGGCACTGTTGTGAGTGTTGGGTAAACTGGTTACTAAGATGAACAAGGTCCTTGCTCTCAGGAAGCTTCTGTTTTAGTAGGTGAGAAGACAAGAAAACACAGGGACTTCGGATGGTTAGTGCAGTGAAGACCACAAAGTGGGGTGAATGTAGTCGAGAAGTGGGGGTGGGGGTTATCTAATTTAGAGACGTTTCCCAGAGAAGCTAGAGACCTAGATTATGAGAAAGAAAGAGCCTGCCGTGAAACAGTAGGGGGTTGGAGGGGAAATCCAGCAGAGGACTAGTAAGTAAAAAGGTAGAAAATAGCTTGGCTTCCGAAAAGAGGACCAGTGTGGCTGGAGCAAGGAGGACGGGAGGGGACGAGGTTAGAGAGGTCAGTTTACGTAAGACCTTGTGACCATGATAAGGAGTGTAGACTTAATTCGAAGTACAGTAGGTCAGTCGAGGGTTTTAATCAGAGGAGTGGTATGGATTAATTTATGTTTTTTTATTTTATTTAGAGAGAAAGAGGGGAAGGGAGAGGGAGAGAAAGAATCTCAAGCAGATTCCCCACTGAACGTGGAGCCCGTGGTGGGGCTCAGTCTCACCACCCTGAGGTCATGACCTGAGCCGAAATCCTAAGTCGGACGCTCAACCAACCGAGCCACCCAGGCGCCCCTGGATTAATTTGTTTTAAAAAGACAGTTGGGCTGGCGGTTGGAAGCAAGGAAACCAGTTTGCAGGCTGTAACATGGTACCATCACAGCTGATGGTGGCTTGGGTTAAGATCATGGCATTGAAGATGTGTGGAGACAGGGAAAAGTGGAACTGGCGGGACTTGCAGAGAAGTTACATGTGGAGAATGAGGAAGAAGAGAGGGATTCCAGTGGGCACTGCTCAGTTTTTGCCCTGAGTAACTGGATGCATGGGGAGAGGCTGAGTTGGCAAGACAGTGGGCTCTCATGCAGGAGTAGATTTTGGTTTGGAGGAATTTGGGACACGTTAAGTTGGAGACGGCTAGAAGACAGCCACATTTTAAAGCCCGTTTAGCCACAAATCCTCTATTTTTCATATTTATATTTGTTCCCTTCTTTTGTTGTTAAAACTTTTTTTCTTTCTTACCACACGTAAACTTTGAAAATCAGAATCTTTGTATCTTGAAGTTGTGACGTATGTGTCTCGTGGCTAAAGAATGGCATTGGGAGCCCTAAATGCAGTGCTGTGAATTTGCCGGCCAAAGTGAGAGTGCTTATTCCATTTTCTGTCTTTACCATGTCCTTTGCAACCAGCACATAGTACAGGTTCCAGAAGAACTGTTACTTCGGCCATACTGTGCTAACTTGGCATCAACATAAAGAATTAATGAATAGGAAAGTTCTCCCTTGGCAAAAGTTTTAAATTCTTTTTTGAGAGGCTCTACTGTCTTTACTAAAGATTTTCTAGGGTTTCTCCAGACCCTCAAATGTAATAGGTATGCAATAAATATTTATTTATTTTGGATTTTGGTTTTATTTGGTATCTTTCTGGAATGGTTTTCACATACCTGTTTTATGTTATATACTATTTTTGTCCTGGAAAGGTTAGTATCTTGGATGTACTAAGATTGCTATTATTGGACTAACTCCAATTGTAATCTTGTTTTATTCCTTTGGATTGGTGGCTTATAGAAGAAAAAGATACTGTTATGAGATCATATTCAGGATAAGATGAAGAAAGAAAATAAAACTAGGTGCAGGGAGTTACATTTTACAAGTTTAATGATCTTTTCTTCCTTCCTGGAAGCCAGCTAGCTAACCCAGTTTTATGTATTATAACTTTGGCAAACGTAGAATTTCCTAACTTTGGTTTCCTTTGTGTCAGTTATCTGTTGCTGCATAACAAATTACCCCAAAAGCCAAAGCTTAATACAACAACCATTTTTTACTTCACATGGTTTCTGAGGATAGGAACCTGGAAATGGCTTAGCTGGGTGGTTTTGGCTCCAGTTTTGGCCTCTGATGAGGTGAGGATCAAGCTGTTGGGGCAGGGCTGCAGCCGTGTGGGGTTCAACTGGGGTTGAACTGTCCTCGGGTGGTTCACTTACATGACAGTTTCTTTCCTTAGCACTTGGGCCTCCCACAGGGCTGCCTGAGCATCCCATGACATGGCAGCAGGCTTCCCCAGAGGGAGTAAGTGAAAGGGAGACGGGGTGGGGGGGGCAGGGGGCAGGTAGTTCCATAATTGACTTAGGATTTTCTTTAAAGCTGTCCCAAGCTTTGATGCTGAGAGTCATTTCTCAGATGAGAAATGTCTGTATCACATGTGTCGGATTTATATCCCGCTGTTCTGTTTCTGTGCCTTTCTGTGTACAGAGTGATTTTCATTTTAATGCTAAATCATAGTACTGAAATAAATATGTCTTGAAGACCTTTTCAGTGGCCACCGCTTGCAACAGTGCACCTAAGTCAGTGGGAGTGCCAGCCACATGAGCGTTTACGACCGAGTATTTGAAGAGCTGGCACTGAGAACTGCATCACGCCTGCTGTCTAGCAGACATCTGTTATAGGGTGCATCCTGATTTCAGAGGGGTTAGGACATGAAAAAAATATTTCTAAGAATTGAAGAAAGATGGCAAACAGTTTTCTCCCCCAGCCACGGGAAGTACAGTAGATCAAAGTCTTCTGTGGATGAGTTTCTTTCCTCTTGGTTTTACAAAGCCTGGAACTCACAGAGGCATAATCTGGTGGGGAGGGAGATATGAATGGGCAGTTTACAGCTAGGATGAATATACAGGTAATTTCCAAAATACTTTTTGGTTTCAGAAACTTAAACAAGGAAAACCTCTCTTCCGTGACTTATTTAACTTTTTTTTTCTTTTTTTTAAGGCATAAAGATCACCGTCAACCCAGAGTCAAAGGCAGTCTTGGCTGGACAGTTTGTGAAACTGTGTTGCCGGGCAACTGGACATCCCTTTGTACAATATCAATGGTTTAAAATGAATAAAGAGGTAATTTTTTAAATGTATTTTACTTCCCTTGTCATAAGAAGAGAGGATGATAGCAAATTATTTAGCGTCATTATCCTCAGTGTGTTTTTTGGAACTTTGATCTGATAGACATGGCTGTGTTATTACTGAAGTAGTCAATAATCATTATTTTGGTAAGACAGTTCCAAAAGTTGTCTTATAAAAAAATGGTAGGGCGCCTGGGTGGCTCAGTCGGCTAAACGACTGCCTTCGGCTCAGGTCATGATTCTGGAGTCCCGGGATCGAGTCCCGCATCAGGCTCCCCGCTCGGCGAGGAGCCTGCTTCTCCCTCTAACCCTCCCCCCTCTCATGTAATCTCTCTCTCTCTCGTTCTTACTCTCTCAAAATAAATAAATAAATCTAAAAAAAAAAAAAAAAGTAAATGGGACACCTGGGTGGCTCAGTCAGTTAAGCATCTGCCTTTGGCTCAGGCTGTGGTCTCAGGGTCCTGGCATCGGGCTCCACACTTACCAGGGAGTCTGCTTCTCCTTCACCCTCTGTCCCTCCCCCTACTCATGTGCTCTCTTTATCCCTCTTGTTCACTCTTTCAAATAAATAAATAAAATATTTTTTTTAAAATGGTAAGCAATAATAAAATCAATTCTCTAGACTCTAAAAATTGTGGAAATCAGTATTATTGCTTAGAACAACATTAACAAATAGCAAATATCACCAGTACCTTCTAACATACCCATCCAAAATTCCTTAACTACAGATTATGTTCCAACCAAAATGTCTCTCTCTCTCTTTTTTTTTAATAACTTTATTTTCTTTGGCGGTGTGTGCCCTCTAGTCTCAGAACTTCTGGAATTGCTTCTTGGGCCAGCAGCCTGTGTGACTTTGAGCACATTGAAGCACACAGTCTTGCTCAAGGGTCAGCACTCACTCACTGTGACAGTATTACCCATCTGGACATCACTGAAGCAGGGGGGGGACAGGTGTACGGACATATTCTTGTGGTGTTTCTCAAGGCGGTTGTACTTTCAGATGTGGTGGAGGAAGTCTCGGTGGATGACAGTCTTCTGTACCTTCATCTTGATCACCACACTAGACAGAATCTGCCCTTGGATAGAGACATTACCAGTAAAGGGGCATTTCTTGTCGGTATAGGACCCTCAGTGACCTCCTTGGGCATTTTGAAACCCAGACCAAAGTTTTTATGGTACTGTAGTAGCTTCTCTTTACCAGTTTCTCCAAGCAGGTCCCTCTTCTTATTTTGAAAGATGGTTGGCTGCTTTGGGTAAGTGCACTCAGTATGAATGTTCACTGTCTTCCCGACCACCTGAAAAAAGGAAACCAAAATCTTTTTTTTTTTTTTAAAGATTTTATTTATTTATTCGACAGAGAGAGAGGGAACACAAGCAGGGGGAGTGGGAGAGGGAGAGGCAGGCTTCCTGCCAAGCAGGGAGCCCGATGCGGGGCTCGATCCCAGGACCCTGGGATCATGACCCGAGCCGGAGGCCGACGCTTAACGACTGAGCCACCCAGGTGCCCCCAAAATCTTTAATTAAAAGATTTTTAAGGTGCCACAGAAGGCTAATGGAAAATTATTTTAAATGTTCCACATAACTATTATATCAAAAGATTTAGGCTATTGTGGTAGATTCTGAAGTAAAATTCAGTCTGGTGTATCCCTGCACCACCTGATAAATAATTTAAAATTACATATTGGAATTCTTTTTTCTTAAAAGTTCTTTGAGCTGGGGGTGCCTGGGTGGCTCAGTTGGTTAAGCGTCTGCTTTCGGCTCAGGTCATGATCCCAGGGACCTGGGATCAAGCCCCACATGGGGCTCCCTGCTCAGCTGAGAGTCTGCTTCTCCCTCTCCCTCTACAACTCCCCCTGCTCCCTCTCTCACTATGTATGTCTGTCTGTCAAATAAATAAATAAAATATTTAAAAAAAAAAAAAGTTCTTTGACCTACTCTGCCACTGAGTGTTTCCCACTGGTCTGGCTAGCCCATGTTGAGTCTCGCTTTGGTTGGCTCCTCTCTTCTCCCGCTCCACCTCTCCTAGCCCCCTTCCCTCCTAGATTGTACCTTGAAACTCCATACTCTTTTCAACCTGTTAGTCAAATAACTAAGCTTTCATCCAAATTCAGTACTAAGTCTACATTTGCAAACCTGAAACTAAGTTAAAGAGCCATTCTAAGATCATGATCTTTCCTTTAATGGGATCATCCTGTGCCTTAGAAGAAATGTGTGGTGTTATACGATTTTTTATTCTCATCCCTTATACACAGGTAAGGTAGAGCCACTGAACTGTGGTAAAAGATTGCATGTAGGCTTTGGTGCTGGACAGGCCTGTGTTGGAACCCTGAGTGTCATTTTTTTGTGATACGAATTCCTGTCATCCAGGGTTATAAGAATTTAATAGACAATGTGTTTCATGTACCTAGGCTTTCAGGAGATGGTAACTGAAGTTATTTTTAACATTTTCTCAATTGCAAAGTTGCTTTTATCTTAGTAAATGTCTTTTGAAAAGGGAGAAATAACAGATAAAACTTGCTACATTAAGCATATCATTTGTAAAATATGCCCTGATTTGAGAAAGGTAAAAATATAGGAGGTGGGGAGTACTTCTTAGATTAGAAGAGTTCTAATAGATTTTAAAGCCCTCACAAGTTCGAGTTTTGTCAGACTACCTTTATGGCCATGGGGTTATTTTAAGAGATACTCATTTAACAAGTACTTGATGAGCACTTGTTTTGTGCCAGGCCTCAGTGATCTAAGGCCGTGATGATGAAGCACTGACACACAGGGTCCTGCTCCGGTGGGGGGAGACAGCAAACAAATAGAATTCTTTGAGTTAAGAACCAAGAGGAGAATCAGCAGGGTGATCTAAAGTGAGAAGCCACTAACCGTCTTAAGCAGAAGTAACATGATAGGATTTATGTTTTTAAAACACAAAGCTGCCGGTTGAAGAGAAGCAAGAGAACAGTGGGAAGACCAGTTAGCTAATGCTTTTGCTAGACTGGAAATAGTGGCAGGGCAGTGAAGAGGGAACAGAGTGCTCAGGTCAGGTTATTTTAGAGGGAGAGTTGATCACACCTGATAGGTTAAAGGAAGAGAGATCAAGGATGACCCCTGGATTTTTTATGGAAGCATCCGGGGAAGTGTTATATACTGAGGTATTGAAGATTGGGAAAGAAATGGATTTAAGGAGAAAAATCAAGGATTTGGTTTTAGATGCATTAAGTTCAAAATGCCCATTAGACATCTACATGAATCAGCTAGGCAGTTTGGATATCTGGAGAGTCTTTGAAAGTTTATGTTACAGAAGACAAACCAGTAAAGAGACTAAGAACCTGCAAGAGAGATGGGAGGAAATCCAGCAGAGGATGGTATGAAGCCTAAACGGGAAGGCATTTCAAGAAAAAAGGGGTAGTTAGCATTTTCAGTGCTGCTGAGAGGAGGGGTGCGTGTCAAGGGAGGCTTGTTTGGGGTTTTTTACTTATTTAAGATACAAAGCACTGGAGTATGCTTTCAAGAGTGATACAATAGAAGAGAAATAGATGGTAAAGCAGAGAGAAAATTGCAGGAGCAAGGTCAGAGAGGATGGAATTGACAGGAGAGGAAAATGTTTTCCTCTGCTCTCTTATGTTCATTCTCTGGGTTCCTGTGAATTAACTGACAAAATACAGATTGATAAGAGAAGAAGTTTATTAGTATCGGAACTTACAAAGGAAGTAGTTCCATGACTAGTTAAAGTTAAAGCCTTACATACCTAATTTAGTAGGGAAAAAGGTAGAGGGACAAAGGCCTCTATGAGAGGAACAGATGGGTTTCTTTAAGAAATACAAAGGGGTTTCTAGGAGAATAAACAGGAGATAAGAAAGCTTGACCATGTTTATTCCATGTGGGTGAAAGTGGTTTTCCCATCTTCATCATGGCCATAAAACTCTCCTGGAGAGGGGATTTGTAGTAGGTTTATTTTTGGTCTCCTTCCTGGATAAAGCCACCCTGAAGAAGGAATTTATGGTAGCCTCATTTCCCAGAAGTGTCTACTTTTAGTCAGATAGGGGGGTCTCTGAGAAAGCTGCTTTCTGCACCTGTTGATCCCAAATGTCTGCAGCTTGAACTAGTCTACATACCAAGTCTGAGGTTCTGAGTGGATCCCCACAGATCCTAAGCCCAAGTAGCCTTTGCCAGGAAGACGCATTTTCCATTTTAACAGAAGAGAGCAGTTATAAAGAGATACATAGATAGCTTTGGTTGCAGGAAGAGGAGAGTTTCTTTCTGAAGTCAGTAGCTGAGAGAAGCAGAATTGATTGTAGGAGGTTTGAAGAGACACAAAATATGCATTAATAGTCTAGTAGGAAAGCAGACTTAGTACATTAACATGGTGCCAAGGGCAGCCTGCCATCCTAGTTGTCAAATCTTCAGCAGAATGCTCTTGCTCTGGTGCAGGTTCTGAAGGGGCAAGAGTGGAATTCAGTTGGTTGGGGTTTGGAGAGGGATACTTTTGAAAGGGAACTAATGTAATATAACAGGGCACTCGACTAAGCCCCTTGACAATGTGCCAGAAGTGGGTGGCACTATACAAATTGAGGAGAGCAGCAAAGGTGAAAGAAACCTTAATGTGGTGACCAGAGCCCTGGGGGAGAGCTTGGGAAACCCTTGGGTGGCCATTTCTTCCCATCACTGACATGCTTTCCATAGCCCTTCCCTGCCCAGACCCTGAAAGAAGAGTGGTGGTTCAGGAGTCTGTCCTTTTACGGAATTTTGCAGATGAGAAAATGGGGTCTCAAGGTGAAATAACTTGCTTAGGTACTCAGAGCTCATTTGGCCGGAACTGAAATGAATAGTCGGGCCTAACTTTCTGTGTTATTTATAAATTTGCCATTGTAGATTCTTTAAATACTAATGATTTGAATAGTCTTAAATGACAGAACAGATACTTTCCTGTTAGTTTTTGGAAGATCTGTGGAAGAGATCTTAACTGTCTAGTTAATGGATTTGTAAAAGAGTGTGGATTTCTAAGACTTCAGTCTTAAATTATTCAAAATGTGGTTTTTTTTTTAAGTAAAAAATATTTTAGAACTTGGGGGGGGAAATATGCTTTTCAAAGCTCCAGAGAAATCAACACATTTTTTTGCATGGCACATTTTTATAAGGCATGTTTTGATGAGTCATTCATTTACAGTCTCTTACTGATTCTTTCACAGATCCCAAACGGAAATGCATCAGAACTTATTTTTAACACAGTGCATGTAAAAGATGCAGGCTTTTATGTCTGTCGAGTTAATAATAATTTCACCTTTGAATTCAGCCAGTGGTCACAGCTGGATGTTTGTGATGTCACTGAAGTAACAGAAAGCTTCCAGGGTAAGTGATAAATTAAGTTGAATTTTGGGATGGGAATTGCCTTATTTTATTTTGAATATTTACTTGAATTTCACAATATCACAACAGGACCGGAAGCTCATGTATGTACTTATCACCAGTTGGTCAGACTTTATCCCGTGTGCTTTGGTCCCTTCTCCACAGACATGTGCACATACAGATAGATGCCTTAGGCCGGCCCTGCCTCTGGCCTCTGCAAACGTCCCTCCTATTTCTTCCTACACTGTATCTTCCTCCCAAACTGTTGTATTACGCTGACAAAATCATGTTGCGGAATAAGACCTCTAGAGTTGCCTTTGGCGTGAAAGGGCAGGTAGCGTATCATTCTCCACAATAAAGCATTTCATCAGACTGTTTTTCTCCTCTCTGTCATTCAGCTTCTTAGGCCAGTAACTAGTACTGATTTAAAAAATCAACCTATTCTAAAGAGTAGCCATCAGATGTTATTTTCTGTATTCACACTCACAATCAAGATTTATATTGTCATTTTACCACAGAAAGAATAGGTGGGAAACAGACTTGTTGTTACCTGTCTCCATTCTTCTTTCTCAATTTAGCTTTTCCTACACCTAAATAAATAATCTCTAAAAATAGTCGTTATTAAACAAGGGAATTATATCTTTCTAGGATATTTCTATGCGTGTAATGAACTTTAATATGTTTATAAATTAAATCCTATTCATTCAGCAAAGACTGATCACCTGCAATGTGTGAGACACTGAGTTTCATGATGGAGACTTGGTATTGGGTAACAATAACAAGTCCTCCTTCCTCGAGGACTTAGAGCAACACATGAGGGTTCAATAAGTAACATTTTCTGGGGGCGTCTGGGTGGCTCAGTTAAGCACTGGACTCTTGATTTCGGCTCAAGTCATGATCTCAGGGTCGTAAGATTGAGCCCTATGTTGGGCTCCATACTGAGCGTGCAGTCTGCTTAAGATTCTCTCTCTCCTCCTCCTCCCCCACCCCCCATGGGTGCACATGCTCTCTCTCTCTCTTTAAAATAAATAAATCTTTAGGGGCGCCCGGGTGGCTCAGTCGTTAAGTGTCTGCCTTCAGCTCAGGTCATGATCCCAGGGTCCTGGGATCGAGCCCTGCATCAGGCTCCCTGCTCAGCGGGAAGCCTGCTTCTCCCTCTCCCACCCCACCCACCCCCTCACTTGTGTTCCCTGTCTTGCTGTCTCTTTCTGTCAAATAAATAAATAAAATCTTAAATAAGTAAATAAATTTATCTTTAAAAAAATAATAGTAATAATGCTTTCTGGTGTCTGCCTCAGGAAGAAATGCTAGTGATCATCCATCCATATTTATTACATGCTAAAACTCCTTCTTTTAATAACTTAAATCAAACAGCAGAATGTAGAACTTTCTGTGTTGAATGTGAATATCACTCAAGATGTTAATAAGTTATTTGCCCCCACCAAAAAGAATCTGTGGCCAAACGTGTGGAAACCACTCGAACTATTTTGCCCCTTTAAATAAACAAAGCATATAACACTTAAAGCCCTGAGAAGTCCTGCAATAAAAAAATCTGTTTAACTTTGTTTAACCCAGAATTTTCTAAACGTACTTGTCTACAGCATCCTTTTAACCACAGAACATCTCTTAGTATTTCTAGAAGTGTCACAGTTTTATGAAACAGTTTTAGGAGGTACTCTTAAGGATTATAAAAAATAACTTGAAAACACCTTTTTATGTTGTTTTTTGTTTCTGTTTTTAGTTAAAGGGTGAACATTTTTTCTTACTGACCTAGGGATTTTATTTATGTTTAGTGATACTTTTCTTTTAATTTAAGGAAGTGTGGATGGCATCTCTGAACCCAAGTTGCAAATCTGCGTTGAACCAAGGTCCCAAAAGCTGATGCTTGGTAGCACGTTGGTCTTACAGTGTGTTGCTGTTGGAAGCCCTATTCCTCACTACCAGTGGTTCAAAAATGAATCACCATTAATACATGAGACAAAAAAGCTATACATGGTAAGAAGTTGGTTATTTGGGTATTTTTTTGTGTAGATATATAAGTAGTGTAATTGAAAATTAAGACAAACATTAAAATTCATATTCGTTGAGGTGTTTTAATGTTTAATGATAATCATTAGTTATCATGACTTGAGCCGAAATGTATTCAGTTATTAGCTCATTCTTATATTTACAGAAATGCTGGAACATAACACTAGCCCACATCTAAGGGCTGATACTAAAATGTCAGATAGGGGCGCCTGGCTGGCTCAGTCGGTGGTGTGGGCAAGTCTTCATCATGGGGTTGTGAGTTCGATCCCCACGTTGAGTGTAGAGATTACTTAAAAATAAAATCTTTAAAATGTCAAATAGTACTACACCTAACTCACCATTATTGGAATCATTGTATCATTTGCCTGCTAATATTTAATCTAATAAATGAAAATAATCTAAGAATGTCTGAAGTCCTCTTAAATGTTACAGGTTTTTTTTCCTAATTCAAAATAAGTTTCTCTCCAAACCAATTAAAATTAAATTGAAAGGAAATGTGTGTGTATGTGTTCTGATATTGATAATAGGTACCTTATGTGGATCTGGAACATCAGGGAACCTACTGGTGTCATGTATACAATGACCGAGACAGTCAGGATAGCAAGAAGGTAGAAATCATCATAGGTAAGTACTCTTAGTGTTCTGGTAAGTGGGGTAGAAGTTACACAAAATGAAACATTAAAGCAATGGAAATTCTGCTTTTTACCCCATTCTATTTAATGTCGTGTTAAGTATCCAGAGTTATTTATATAGAAATTCAAGAGAATACATACTAAATTCACAATCATAAACATTTGTGGCAAAAAAAAGTATTCTTTAAAACTTTAGTTATAGGGGCGCCTGGGTGGCTCAGTTGGTTAAGCATCTGCCTTCGGCTCAGGTCATGGTCCCGGGTTCCTGGGATTGAGCCCTGCATCGGGTTTCCGGCTCAGCGGGGAGCCTGCTTCTCCCTCTCCCTCTGCTGCTCCCCTGCTTGTTCTTTCTCTCTCTCTCTGTAAGATAAATAAATAAAATCTTAAAAAAAAAAACTTCAGTTATAAAAAAAACTTTAAGTGGGAAAAGATTTTTAATAAAACACTTTTAAAAACCAGGCATCACAGACATAGAAAGGAAAGAATGATCATTAATCAGCAGTCCCCATTATAAAGTTTGTAATCTGGGAGTTTGCTCTGTTTAAGCTTAATGCATTTATAGTTAAGTTGTCAGCAGTAGGAGGGTTGATGCATATGTTGGTTTGCCAACATATTTCTATGATATTTATTTCTCTGTTTACCTGATGGCTGCCCTTCCTAAGATCATGAATTACAGTATATTCACATTTGTTTTCTCTGGAACAAGGAAGAACAGATGAGGCAGTGGAGTGCACTGAAGGTAGTGTAATCCTTTGGTTTGAAACCACATATCCTGCATGCTGGTTCCTCTGGGGATTGGTGGAGTGCTCTAGCCTGCTGAGTGCAGTGATGGAAAAAATACTAGCTATAAGAAAGAAATTTCACTGAGTCTCAGGATTTGTAAATTGCCAGGGACATTGTTAAACTGACACACTATTAAGGTAACTAATTTTCCTTTGATTTTCTATTGCATATAAGAATAGCATTTCTGTACATCTTACAAATAGGAAACATTTACGATTAATTCTTAATGTTAATTTTTATCTTTATAAAATTCGTTAAAAAGATGGACGGCTCTACTACCATGAATAATTGTTTAAATGACTTTAGCCATCCTTTTAGCCATGATTACTTGCTGTTCAAATGCAAATGTGGCTTTTGTGAGAGTTTCAGGACAGGCGATTTCTTATTAAACACATGTTTTATCAAATGCCTAATATTTCTATTTCAGTATAAAATTAGATCCATTTTTTGAAGCTATAAGTCTGTAGATTAATCTACCTTGTCATCTTTACCATAATTTATAAAAAGAACTGGAAAATCTATTTCAACATAAGCTTTTAAATTTGTTTTAATTATGCAAAGCATTGTACATAAGTTCTAACGAGTAAATTTTAATACTTGTTACCTTCCCTTAGTACATCACATTGTTTTACAGAATTTGGTTTGTAAATAGCAAAGTATTTTTTCAATTTCTGCTTCTTTAAACTATTATATAATCTTGGGCTCTACTTGGGTAAAGTAAAAAACAAAAAAAGTTAAATCTTTTGTTTCCTGGGTTCTGCTGTCTTTCGTATCTCTGTGGTATCACGTTGAAATGCTGTAATTACTGTTTTTTGTCCTAATGCATACTTTTGAACAGGAATTCTCTAGCGTAAGGGGGATTCCAATCCTGTTGTCTATAGAGGCCTTACACGAGGGACGCTAAGTGAAGAAATCCCTCCTCTTCCTTCTCTTCTTTTTTGCCTAATTGCATGATTTTTAAACTTTCCAAAGTTGAATATTTCTAAGAACAAATATAAACTAGCCCTGCTGTTTGGCTTCAGGGTGTTGCATGGAAATTACCTGCTGTGCTGTTTCTTTACCTGTATGATCATCTCTGTAGTTTTTACAGTAGCAAACACACTGTCAAATTCTAATGTTCACATAAGCCTTTCAGCACACTTAGAGATGAAGATCCGAGTATGAAAACTACATCAGAAATTTCAAATGGGAGAATTAGATCCAACTTTTCTTTGTAAAAAAGTATAAATGTTGAGATGTTTTATATTTGGTGGATTGACACATACCATTAACAGTATCCTACATCATATCTTTTTTTTTAACCTGCAGAACATGATGTTACTTGTTTCACTCTCTGTATTTTGTTAAAGATATTTGGTCAGGACAAAAGGTGGGGATTGAATAAGTGAAGCTCAGGGGATTTTTTTAGGGCAGTGAAACTATTCTGTATGATCATTGTAATGGTGAATACATGTATGCAAGTCTTTAAAATCATCTAGTAGGAGGTCAGGGGAGGGGGAATCCCAGGATGGAATGCAGAATGTCACCAGAGAATCTAAATGCGTTAAAAATGTATGCAGCAACCTCAGTGAAGAGGGGAAGGAAGAACAAGGTGCTGACCTAAGTAACTAGAAATGAATGAAGTCTATAAGACAAGAGGCAAAAGAAATTGTCTGGAGCCCTGTACTCGAGTTGATGATGCTCTTCCGTTGACTTTACATCACAGATAAGAATAAGTTCCTCTGTGACATCTTACCAACAGCATAACATTTGTAATTTACTGTTAATGTTAATTTGCATCTTCATAAGATTTGTAAAGGAAAAATAGATGGCTATAATGTCATGGGTATTTGCTTAGATGATTTTATCTCTCCTTTAGCTGGAGAGAACGGGTTAATAATTCTGAAACCACTGTGCCTCCAAAAACACATTCCACCAGTCTAAGCATGAGGAAAACATCAACTAATCCAAAGTGAGAGACATTCCACAAAGTCCCTACCAGTAACCTTCACAACTGTCAAGGCCATCAGAAACAGGGAAAGCCTCAGAAACGGTCACGACAAAGAGCCCGAGGAGACATAAGAAAATATAATGTGGTGTCCTGCATGGGGTCCCGGGGGAAAAAAGAACATTAATGGTTCATTAGTTGTGACAAATACACCTTACTAAACAGAAGATGTTAAAACAGGCTGGATATGGGTGTATGCAGGAAAGAGTTCTTTACTGTCTTCACATTAGTTCTGTAAATCTCAAACTATTCTAAAATTAAAAGTTTATTAAAAAAGAAATCATTTGAGATTGTTTTGTAGTTTCCCGTAGAGGCCACAGATCTATCCCTTGACTGTTTCTGTACCAAAAGGCCAGAATATCTAAAACTTTGAACAAATCATGAATGAGTCTGTTCAGCTTTTTGTCATTTAATGAAAGTATCAATAGCTCAAAAGTTCTACACGATATCAGCAGTAGCATTCTTTCATGCTTGGTAGTTGCATGGCTTCTCCCTGAAGGCATTTGAAAAGTTCTAAACTAATGAAATATTATAACATGATTTAATAACTTGAAACCTGCTTTTCTGATTAGTCTTACTACTTGTACTAAATTGGCAATTTGATTATTTAAAACCTATTTTCTCTTATTTCATTTTAGATGAATTAAATAATCTTGGACATCCTGGTGAGTACTATAAACATAAAACATTAGGTTGAATACAATAACTAGATATTCTTCTGCTATTGTAGTACTAGTAAATTTTTTCGTTATTAAAATAATACAATTCAGGGTTGAAATTAGTACTTACATGAAGGATAATTTCATGCAAGTGAAAATATTAAAAATATTCTAGATTATAAGACTACAGAATTAAGTATACTGCAGAAACAAAATATCAATGTATATTTTTATCATTGCATATAACTCTGTCATAAAAAGGCAGTTAATGGAGTGTCTTTATTTGAAGTAAAAGGTATGTGATTGAGGATCGTTGGTGTTATACAGAGAAATAGTTGGTCATGGACCATTAAGAGATGGACAGCAGGGGCGCCTCGGTGGCTCAGTTGGTTAAGCATCTGCCTTTGGCACAGGTCATGATCCTGGGGTCCTGGGATCGAGCCCCAAGGTGGGCTTCCTGCTTAGCAGGGAATCTCTCTCTGCCCCCCCCCACTCATGCTATTGCTATCTCCCTCTCTCTCTCAAATAAATAAATAAAATCTTTAAAAAAAAATAAGAGGGGCGCCTGGGTGGCTCAGTCGTTAAGCCCCTGCCTTCAGCTCAGGTCATGATCCCAGAGTCCTGGGATCGAGCCCCGCATCGGGCTCCCTGCTCCGCAGGAAGCCTGCTTCTCCCTCTCCCCCTCCCCCTGCTTGTGTTTCCTCTCTTGCTGCGTCTCTCTCTGTCAAATGAGTAACTAAAATCTTTAAAAAAATAATAAGAGAGACTGACAGCAGAAGTATTCATCATTCTCGCCAATTTTAATCAGATTTCTGATTAAAGCTAAAAGGAAACCCTCAACCATGGTGAAAAGCATAGTAATACTGAAGACCACGTAAAGATAGGGGACATCAGCATGGGCCTGAGATCCTGGAAGGCAGTGATGGAGCCTGTGAAAATATCTGAAACTAAAACCTTACACAAGTAGTTTAAGAAGTCAATTACATCATTTAATATTTACAGTGATCCCTTGTCTTCTCAACATGTTATTTCTCATTTTTTTAGCACCGTAACTAGTCTGCTTAGTTTCGTGCCCATATTTTACTAATACACCTCTATTATCGCGAGTGATGATCGGGCTGTGCCCTTTACACAGATGCAAATGAGACACGCCGGAAGGCCTCTGTTACCGGCATGCCGTCGTCCTGAGAGGCCTCACGGGGACGTGTGCATCAGACATCCAAACCCGCGCAGTGAGGGAGCTAGTTGTTTCTCTTGGTCTCGTTAGAATCCTCTTTCCCTCTTTTATTTCTTGCTGTTCAGCGAACATTGTGAAAAGTTATTTCAGGAAAACTTTTGCGAGAAACCACCACTAAGCTTCTAAGATTTTCCTGGCCCCTTCTTTCATTATATCCTTATTCCTCAAGAATCAAGAGATGCCCCCAACACTGAGTTTTTGAAAAAGAAAATTTTTAATGAACTTTTAATAGATTCCAATAGTTACATATATTATTAAGAATGCAAACAGAGTTACCCTGTCTATAATAGTAGACATGTTATTGACTCAACTCCCATCTTTCCCTGCATCTTTTCCTGCATGGTCCTTGGGATGGGAGGTTTTTTTCATTTTATGTATGTAGATGGCAAAGAGCGTGGACTGTGGAGTGAGACTTACAAGCTCAATTACTTTGAGCAAATGACTCAATCTCCCTGTGCTTCAGATTCCTTATCTATATCATGGAGGAAGCATATACCTCATAGACAAGGTGAGGCTTATCTAAATCCATTATATTTAAAACACATAGAACAGTACCAGGCAAGCCTTCAGTAACTGCTAACCATTCCTGCTACTGCTTAGTACTACGCCCACCATTTCCAGACTCATTTCTCCCTAGCGTATTAAAGATTACTACCCCCAGCTATGGTCATTAATTACCAAAACAGTCCCCTGTCCTGATTCTACTCTGTCCATCCAGGTGTATTTATCAAGAATATTAGGGGCACTTGGGTGGCTCAGTCGTTAAGCGTCTGCCTTCAGCTCAGGTCATGATCCCAGGGTCCTGGGATCGAGCCCCGCATCGGCCTCCCTGCTCAGCGGAAAGCCTGCTTCTCGCTCTCCCACTCGCCCTGCTTGTATTCCGTCTCTCGCTGTGTCTCTGTTTGTCAAATAAATAAAATCTTCAAAAAAAAAAAGAATCTGAAAATACTAAAATTATTAGTTAGCTGTTAGAAACCACATTCTGTCTTTTGATGCTGCTGTTATTATTCATTGTTTCCATATATCTTTAACCCTGCAGATGTTTGTATCATGGACAATAACACCTTATCTTTATTATATTTTTATATTTTTGTAGACAATAAAGAGCAAACAACTGATCAGCCTTTGGGTGAGTAGAGCTTTAAAATGCTTGGTCCAGGGGTGCCTGGGTGGCTTGGTCGGTTAAGTGACTCTTGATTTTAGCTCAGGTCTCAATCTCAGGGTCGTGAGTTCAAGCCCCACATTGGGCTCCATGCCTGCTTAATAAATAAGTATAAATAAAATGCTTGGTCAAAATAGGGGCACATGGGTGGCTCAGTCAGTTGGGCGTCCAACTCTTGGTTTCAGCTCACGTCGTGATCTCGCAGAGTCTGCGTGAGATTCTCTCTCTTCCTCTCCTTCTGCCCGTCCGCACCCCACTCGCAAGCTTTCTCTCTCTCTCTAAAATGAATAAATAAAATCTTTTTTTAAATAAGTAAATAAAATGCTTGGTCAAAATGCAGCTTTATAATGCTTTTATGGTGGTCATGAGGGGGATTCAAGACATTTTAATTTGACATTATAAATATTTAAATGACACTGAGACCAAATGTTTTATGGATATTTGTAAAAGAAATTATAGAACAGGGATCTTAAAAAGTTTATGAATTCAGTTTCTGGGACCTAGTCAACTTCTGTGGAACAATTTCTTTGTTTTGGCAGCATGCAAACAAACAACTAGGTAAACAAGAAACTCGCACATGTTACATAGAAGCGATTAATCCTGTGTCTTAGGTTAGAGATCAGGGAAGCAGCAGAGAGGTTGCAATAGCAGCTTTATATTTTAAAGAATGAATAGAGGGGCGCCTGGCTGGCTCGGTCAGTGGAGCGTGCAACTCTTCATCTCAGGGTTATGAGTTCAAGCCCGACCTTGGGTGTAGAGATTACTTAAAAATTAAAAAAAGAAAAAAGGATGACTAGAAGGACCTTCCAGACAGAGGAAGCATGAAATTGCAAGCACACCATTGTAGAGAATGAGCCGGTATGTTGTATTTTGGGAACTGCAAGTAACACACAGTCCTCTAGAGCACAAAGAGAAGGTGGGAGAGAAGTCGGAAGACGCCAGCCCTGGAGGAGCCCCGTTTCTCATGCACGCCATTGGAAGGAAACTTGTTGATAGAGGGCTGTGATTTGTCTCTCTGAAAGGCCAGCCTTGTATGGGTGGAGAAAGTAAACTGAAGGGAGACAATGTTTTGCTTAGGAGAAAAATTAAGAGACAGTTGCAGTAGTCTAGATAAGAAATCATGGGAATCTAAACAAGATGGTACCAGTGCAAATGCAGAAGACAGAGCAGACTCTGAAGACCTTTAGGCGCTGGAATCAGTAAGCCATTCTCATGACCTTGGCTATAGGGCATGAAAAGTAGAGAGGAATCACCATGCCTGCGTGGATTCCTGGTCGTCCCACTAGGTGGGCAGTAATAGTCCACTGAGTTAGAGAATACAGAATGGAAGGCAAGATCCAGAGGATAGATGACTGTCCTTTTGAGACGTAACCTGTATGAAGTATTTGATCACATCTAGGTGACGATACACAGCAGGCAATTGTGTATATGGATCTGGAGCTCTGGGTGGGGGGGGCAGGATTACAGGTAGAGTTGGGAGCATCATCAGCGTAGAGATGGAAATTCAGACCAAGTGGTAGCATACATGAGATTACCACAGGCCACAGAGAAAAGGGCACAAACTGGGTAACCTTTGTTGGGGTGGGGATGGGGAGGGGAGTTCATACAGTATTTTTTAACAGAATCAATTGTCATTAATCAGGTATTATATCAAAATTTAGATTTCTAGGTTCTTTTGAAAAGTGGCAGCTCTTGAAGGGTAGCTGTGCTAAATAGTGGCTGCCCCCTTAGAAGGGTCTTGTACTCCTCTGTCTTCCCATTGTACAACCTTGGGCCTACTTCACTCTCTCCCCCTCCCTGTCCTCCCCTCCTTCCCCACGTGGTCTTGCCATGTAGCTAAATTTTTTCTTTACATGGTGTCTGGGTCTCAAAAGTGGGAGTCGTCTGGACTTCCTAAGTTTAGACCCAGAACTGGCAAGTGTCACGCCAAATTATGTTGTTCAGAGAGAATCACAGGGCAGCCCAGATTCGGGGTGGGAGCTGGCTTGCGGGTCTGTACCCTGAGGGCAAGGATAGCGTGGCTCCTTGGAGGTCACCACACCTTCTACCACATCTGGAGATGTAGGCTTGGATTTGACTTTATAGGACATAGAAATTAAAAGATTTTGTGCAGGCCAACAAGGACTGTATATTTAGTCAAATTTGGTGCTAATACTCAATTTTTGATAGCCAAGTGTTTTTACACTTAACAAATACCTGAATAGCACTTAATCTGTATCAGGTTCTTTTCCGGGTACTTAGGAATATTATTTATTTTAGATGAGGTAAGATGAGTAACACACTATTCAAATAATTACACATGGAATTAATACAGTAACGTTGTACCGGTTTTTGAAGAATACATTGCATGAAGCTTTGGGAGATGCCTAGGATCATGTAGTTAAAATAGCTTTCTGAAGTGGTTTTATTATTCTGTTGCTTAATCAACTGGCATTTTTGTTTCCTTTTTCCAATAAATGGTTTGTGTTCAAGAAGCTGTGGGTGGCTCTTACAGTAAATGTTTTTCTTCAGAAGATTTCTTCCATCTATTTTATCACTTGCAAGCCATCGTGAATGCTTATGTAGTTGTTATTTTGAAATTGTCTTTGATTCCTTGCCCTTATCTCCCCAACTTTGCATTTTGCGCTTCTTTCTCCGTCGTATCTCTAAAGTCTGGCTTTTCCTTTTCCTTTCTACAACCAATTCCTGTCATGGGTCTTTGTCATCCCTTACGTTGACCACTGCGGTCTGCTTCTCTATTCCAAATGCACCCCAGTTCGCCTGTCACTCAAGAACTGTTTCACAAGTAGATTGGGCAAGGTAAGATTTACTTACCCATCACCTTTATTACCATTACACCCGAGAAAATGCTCTAAGACATTTTAGGAATTGGCTGTTAAAAACTGTCCTTGGGGAAAATTCTTTTAAGGCACTATGGTCAACTATTGATACATATATTTTGAGCCACATAGTTCTTAAATTGTTGAACCCGGGCTTCTGTAAACTGTACCGCGTGTTCTTTCTGAATAGATGACTAAATCCGTGAATAAAGAGTTGACATTAGCAAAAAACATGCTTAGTTTGAAAACTGGTCTTTTTCCCCTAGACTCTAGTGATTTTTTTTTTTTTTGGTTATATTTCTTATAATTGTTTTTTGCCAGTAAAACTTAGTCTAGGATGTATATTAGAATTAAATTATTGGGGGCACCTGGGTGGCTCATTCGTTAAGCATCTGCCTTCAACTCAGGTCATGATCACAACATCCTGGGATCGAGCCCCACATTGGGCTCCCTGCTCAGCGGGAAGCCTGCTTCTCCCTCTCCCACTCCCCCTGCTTGTGTTCCCTCTCTCGCTGTCTCTGT